AGGAAAGAGGGTGGAGGCTGGACAGGAGAGAAAGAGCAAGTGAGCACAGGGCTGAGGGGCCGGAAGGGCAAGGTAGGAGACAAGAGGGAGGAATCAAAGCAGGACCCCGCAGGAGAGGAGAGGGGAACTATAAAGGGGAACCGGGTCTCCCGTGAAGCCCGCAAAGGAGCCAGATGGTGGAGAGGCTCTGGGAGAAAGTGAGTGTGAGGAGGACACAGACTAGGGTGGCCCAGGTAGACTGTCAGTACTGGTTTGGGAATGAAAGGCTGGTGGAATGGACAGAGGTCAGACCTGGGGTCCCAGGAAGAGCTTGGCGGCTCTTGCAGCCTGCTCACCTGCGGAAGTCCAGCAGCGGCCGGGTGGAGGCCGGAGTGCCCTCTGCCGGCCAGCTGAGGAAGTGAAACTGAGTGAGCGTGCGCGTCTCCTGGGTCTGCACGTTCTTAAGGTAGAAGCTCCGCACCAGGAAGTCCTCGCACCAGATGTGCTCCGAGACCAGGTTCACCTGTCATGTACCCAACGGATCTGCGGATCTGCGCTGAGCACCGCACGCGCTCCTCTTCCGACCCACCCTCCAGCCTCCCAAGCAGTCAAAACGCTAAATCCTTCAGGACGTTAAAGGCAGTCTTAATTTCAGCCTTTGGATATTTATTTTCCCTGTCTTACATACTCATGGCTCTGAGTTTTATCAAAGTCCCTTCAAATGCCTTTTGATGCTAGACAGAAGACACAAATGTTCATGTATGTATGACATATATATGTATATATGTGTATGTATGATATATATATATATATATATATGCATCTATACACACATTTGTAGGCCACCATGCATTTCCCCACCCTTAGTGTCCCCTTACTGTGGGGTCCTGCTGACCTCATAGACATGGTAGAGGGAGGATCCTTCATCTGGCCAGTATCGGTCACACTGTTTGACACCGTCTTCCACCAGTGGGGTCAGCATGACGATGACAGTGCAGCCACTCTCCCACACCATCTAAGGATAGAGACCCAGTAAGTGGCTATAGCTTCCCTGGCTCTGGTTGCCCCAAGGGCCTCTGGTTCCTAGAAAATCCCCCTCCGAGAATGCACCTGCCAGAAGTCCGCGATGGTATGGGACAGCGGTCCCTGTGTGGCTATGTAGGCCGGCATCCGAGGGTCATGCTCGATCTGAGGGTATGGAGGTTATGTCATGAGCAAGAATGATGGGGAAGGGCCAGCTTGGAGAGATGGTGGGTCAAGAGTGACCCAGGGGCTGAGAAATATACATACATACATACATACATACATACATACATACATACATAATCCCTGTGTAGCTTTGGAACCTGTCCTGGAACTACCTCTTATAGACCAGGCTGGCCTCGAACTCACAGAGATCCACCTGCCTCTGCCTCCCAAGTGCTGGGACTATAGGTGTGCACCACCTCTCTGGCCTTTATATATATATTGGTTTTTCAAGACAGGGTTTCTCTGTAGCTTTGGAGGCTGTCCTAAAACTAACTCAGTAGACCAGGCTGGCCTCGAACTCACAGAGATCTGCCTGTCTCTGCCTTCCTGGCAAGAATCCTATATTTTAATGTGAATCCTATATTTTAATCGAAGACACGGGCTCTACAATTTCAGGTCTTGGCTGGTGTAAGAAATGACTACAGAGGATGGAGTAAGGAGGGGCGATACAAATAGGGCAAGGTGAGGGTGGAAGTCAGAGCCACTTACGATGGGGCTGGCATTGATGTAATCACTCCGTGAAGGGCTGCTCTCCACTTTCAGTTTGATGCGGGCATGGTCATCTGCACAGAACCCCCAAATGGCCTTCTGGCACCAGGCTTCTGCCACTCAGCCTGAACCAGGAGCCCTGCCATTTTCCCACAGCCTCGAACTGCTCCGGGCAGAGGGTGGAGCCAGGCTACCCCGAGGCTCACTTACAAGGTAGGAAGTCAGGATGGCGATTCTTCTTGACGTTGCCCTCGCCCTGTGCGGTGGCGCAGGTGTTTGGCTCTGCTTGATAGGCACACAGGGCCTGCCACTCCTTGGCCAGCCGGTCCCGGTTCCGGAGGTGATCCTCCATGTATGCCTGTAGGGTACCACAGCCTGGCTCTGGCCCACACTGCCCATCCTGTCTCTCCTGCCATCCTGTCCCCTCCCCACTTTGGTCTTGGGCCCTTTCCTGACCAGAATCATGTGTCCCGTGGAGATGTCCATGTTGGCCTGGGCAGGCTCCTCGCACCAGGATGGTGTGCTGCTATGGGAACTGGGACTGGCCTGGGCTGCGTCACTGAACTGGGAGGACACACTGCTCACCCTCGAAGGCTCTGACTGACCCTCTGCCCGGTTAAACAGGGACTTTGTAGCCATGTGCTGGCGACACAGGTCCTGCAAAGGGAGGCTGGGATGAGGCCAGGGTTCCATACAAGTCCTTCACAAGGCAAGGGGGCTGCAGCTCAGTGGCTGCACGGATGAAGCGCTTGGGCAGCATGCATGAGGCCCAGAGCTCAGTTCCCAGTGTTCAAAACAGACAAACAGACAAGGCCTCTGATTTAAGTCTGGAGCCTTAGCTTGTCTCTGATCGATGAGATGAGCAAGGTCTGTCTTTGGCCTTTGTTCTTTTGTGCTTGGCTGGTGATCATGACAACCTCAGATATCACAAAGCAGAACCCCAGAATCAAAGCCCTGGGAGGAGTCTCAGGCACCAGCTGTTCCCAACCATATTCATTCAACAAGCGCATCACGGCACCCCTTCCAATTCTGCTCCCACCCCACTCCACACAAGACCCAGGCTCTCAAGCCCCTGTACTTCCTTCCCTCATGAACCTGCACACCTGGTACTCAAAAGTAGTGTCACCTTGGGCCCCCTCGGGCCCCAGTGCTGCCAGGCGCTCCTTATCCCGCTGTCTCGAATGATGGCGCATACACAGGGCCACTGCCAAAGCCACTAGCAGCCCAGCAACACCTGCCAGGGCTACCAGAGTAAGCAGCACTGAGCGCATGGGAGATGTGCCATGGGCTTGTCGGGGAAGGACTGCAGCTGCTTCCTCCCTCTGTGGGAACAAAGCCAGAATCAGGGGCAGGTGGCAGGGTACACCTGGCCCTAACTCCTTCTTAGGCCACCTGTGGGGACAAAGCTGTGAAGGCAGGAGTATGGAGGTAACAAGCAGAAGGGCCTAGAGCCTCCTTCCCAGTCCACACTGGACCAACTCAAGTGCCAGAGACTTTGGGTGATCCCACCAGGAGGATTTCCGTATAAACAGAAAAGATGTCAGTATGAAAATGATGGTCTAAACTGGGCTTTGGTGGCGCACGCCTTTAATCCCAGCACTCGGGAGGCAGAGGCAGGCGGATCTCTGTGAGTTTGAGGCCAGCCTGTCCTCCAGATTGAGTGCCAGGATAGGCTCCAAAGCTACACAGAGAAACCCTGTCTCGAAAAACCAAAAATAAATAAATAAACAAACAAATAAATAAATAAATAAAAATGATGGTCTGGCCATCAAGAGTGGTTCTTCAGGAAAGAGCCACTGTGCCATCTCCTGGTCAAAATGAGAACTGCACAGAGAGGGACTGCTTGGGAAAGGAAGCTGGAGAGCCAAATGACCTTTCAACCCTTTATGTTCTCCAGTGTTTTGCCTCCCCTCTTGCATCCAGAGTCAGGCCTATGGGGTCTACAGTTAGTGCTTACCTGCCCTACCCCTGTCTGCAAAATCTGGAGCCCTGTCTGTGCTTCCAGTTCAGACTTCACCAGCCCTGCAGGAAGGAAGGGTGCAAGTCAGGCTCTTCCCAGCACCATGCGGGCTGGAAATATTTCAAGGGCGCATCATCACAGGCCTAGGAATCAGGGCTTGGGGGTCAGATCAGCCTGCGCCTAAGGATAGGATGGTATTTACCAGCTTGCTGGGTCACATCCGCCAAAGACAGGTTCTGTTCATTGTGCCGGATTCGGAAGGTGACAGCCGGTCCCACCACACTGCCAAAGAAGAGGTGTGTTACACCTTTCCCACCTGAGAGTCCAGCGCCGGGGGTCAGGGATTCCCACGAAGGTGGGATTCAGGAGAGGCTGTCGTGCTTCGACAAGTTGGCCGCATCTCCGACCTCAGAGCTGTCTTCCCTTCCTCCCTGGCCCCTTCAGCACCCCTCACTCAGGCTGCGTTCTGGACCCCTGTGCTGCCCCACGCAGAGCGCAGCCCCACCTGATGTTGATGAAGCTGCCGGAGGACACGTGCGCGTGTTCAGCCAGGGTCTCCAGCAGCTTCACTCCAGCCACCAAGCTCAAGGGTCTGCAGGAGGGGAAGCAGGCAGAGGGAGGGAAGTGGAGATTCTCAGATACTTTCGTGAAATGGGGTCCCACTTCCAGAGGGACCACCCACTGCCTCGATGCTTTTTTTTTTGAGACAGGGTTTCTCTGTATTGTTTTGGAGCCTATCCTGGAACTCTCTCTGTAGACCAGGCTGGCCTTGAACTCACAGAGATCCCTCTGCCTCTGCCTCTGCCTCCCGAGTGCTGGGATTAAAAGCGTGCCCAGCTTTTTTTTTTTTTTTTTTTTTTTTTTTTTTTTTGAGCTGGATTCTTGCTTTTTGTTTCCTACCAAAGAGGTCAGCCCAACCCCTCGGGCACAGGAAGGCTTCCTCAAGCTGCAACGCTTACTTCTGGTCAGTGACTATGTAGCCATACTCCTCGGCTGATGGTCGAGCTGAAGGCTGTCCCACCACTGTGGACTGGCTCTGGCTCAGGGGACTTTTCTTCTCCAGTAGGACAGATGAGACTCCAGGAGGACTGGCTGTTCTGGCTGTTCGGGGAGGCTCGGGGATGCCAGGACTCAGCATCTGCTGGACTTCGTTGGAGGTGGGGCTGACAGTAGGGTGTCCAGGAAGCGAGGGTGTGGGGGGCCGAGGGTCCGCTGCATCCCCTTTCTGCATTTGTTCTTCTGTTGTCTGTTACAAGACAGGATGCAGATGTGACCTCTAGAGCAGAAGGACTAGGGGTTGGGGATGGAAGGGCCACACTTTGGGCTCTAAACTCTTTACAGTGGAATTTAGCAACTGGTTAGCTTCCTACCCCCACCCTCCAATCCCATACAATGGGTACAGAGAGCATATCCAGGGAATGTGAATCAAATGGACGAATGAATGAATAAAGGGTTGAATGAGTGAAGTGTGGTCTGTAAATTCGCAGGGTGGGGCTGGAATGGGGGGGTTGAGCCTGATCATCTGGAAAGATAAACAGAAAGGCATGGTTTTTAGGCTTTCATTTCAATGGCAACGTGTTAGACTGCAGCATCTAAAACAGAGAAGCAGAAATCATCCAGCTACAGCAGGATGGTGCCTCTACCAAAGTCCCTGCTGCAGGAACCATCTGAGTTTGAAAGGAGTGTGATAAAAAGAAGAGTGGATTAAGAATTCTGGCTTTGGGCTGGAGAGAGGACTCAGAGGTTAAGAGCACTAGCTACTTGCTCTTCCAGTGGTCCTGAGTTCAATTCCCAGCAACCACATAGCAGCTCACAACTGTCTGCAGAGTATTCGTACAAAATACAAACAAACAAACAAATAAATAAAAGAATTCTGGCTTTTAGTCGAGTCAACTTGAAGCCACAGGTTATGACTTGAAGTCTCTGGGATGGAAAATGAGGGAGCAGAGGATAGATTCTGAGACATGACCCCTAGGATTCAGCCAAGGGGGGGGGGGTGTGAGGCAGGAAGGTTCTGGGAACTCACTTTCTTAACATCAGCTCCGACATTTACAGCCCCTCCTATAGAGAAAGGAAAAGCAAGAGTCTTGGGAAAGAGTATCAGGGCCAAGGTGAGAAAGGACTAGAGCTCTGGGACCTGTTCCACCTTTGAGACCCTGTTGTGTCAATAGTCACAGATGCCTCTCCCAGCTCCCACTCCTCCTCTCCCGTCCCCTTAAGCTTCCCACACTCTAGTCTTTTCCTAGTCTAATGCTACAGTTTACCATTTTGTCCTCTTGTTCCCTGGGATACACTGGTAATAACTCTATCCTCATAAGATCTCTTTTCATCTGGCTGGACCATCATAGGCTGGACCAAGCCTGTAACCTCTATACTCTAGAAGCACAGGTAGAAGGATCATGAGTTCTTTTTGTTGTTTTTTTTTAACTTTTTTTTTTTTGAAACAGAGTTTCTTTGTGCCGCCTGGCTGTCCTGGAACTCTCTCGGTAGACCAGGCTGGTCTTGAACCCAGAGATCTATCTGCATCTGTCTCCCAAGTGCTAGGATCAAAGGCGTGCATCACCTGGCCCAGCTAGGACCGTGAGTTCTTAAGTCAGCCTGTGCTACGGCAAAGACCCCATCTCAAGAAAAATAAAAACCAAAAAATTCTCCCCTTGTGACCCTCCAGGACAAAAGGCCTCATGGAGCAGGGGATTGCTGCCCTCCCTGCAGGGACACTCACCAGGATTTCTTCCTGTGCCCTTGGGAAGTAACTGCAGCAGGGTCAGGAGGGTAGAAAGCTGTTCTGGGGTCAGCTGACCATAGCCTGCCAGGACAGCAGCCTAACTGCAGCAGGGTCAGGAGGGTAGAAAGCTGTTCTGGGGTCAGCTGACGCAGCGTAGAGCCTGCCAGGACAGCAGCAAATCTCTGCAGACTTGTATCTGCTGGGAGCCAGACACAGAGCTTAGGGTGGATGACAGGATAAACTGATGGGATGAAGATGTGAGGGGAGCCAGACACAGAGCTCAGGGTGGGTGACAGGATACACAGATGGAAAGCAGATAGGTGTGTGTGTGTGGGGGTCAGGGACATTTAAGAATTTTTTAAATGCTAGGACATTGATGCCCTCCCATTCTAGATCTTGACCATATTTAAGGTATGCCAGGTGTATATCCCACTGCCCCTACATTGAAGTTAGTGCCTGTGTACATCAGCTTGTCAATAAACAGTTAAATGTGTGGACGAAAGGCAGAATGCCAAGTGTGGTGACTCGTGCCTGTAATCTCAGTACTCAGGAGTCTGATGCAAAAGGATTGCAGCAGACTTGAGTCCAGCCAGAGCTAAGAATGAGTTCAAGGATAGCCTGGGATAATAACAAGACCTTCTCTTAAAAATAAATAAAATAAAAAATACAACTGAATAAACAAACGAATAAACGAACATCTTCAAAGACAATCAGGAAGGAGCCCATAGACAGAGGTGGGTGCCAAGGAACCTCTTACCTGGTTGTACTGTTTGGGAAGGGGCCTTCTCCCTACGACCCCCTAGAACTTCCTCCTCATAGCCCTCTGAGGAGTCCTCTGCCCGGCTGTTGCCCCCTTGCTCTGGCAGCCTTGGTACTCTGGCCCTGCCAGGTACAGGCAACTCTTGGGCCATGTAGAGCAGCCCTGAGTCCTGGAAAAGCTGAGCGGGTAAGGGACCTGGAAGGTCCCCGAAGGAGTGGCCAGAGTGAGCTCCCAAAATGGCCTTGGAGGCAGTTCTGCTGAAGAGGGCAGGAGCTTCAGCCTTGGGCAGGTGACCAACACCAACCATCCCTGGGGAGCTCTCTGAGCTCCGGGAGCCATCTCGGGATCCAAACTGTGGGAGACCAGAAATGTGGGTAAGAACAGAAGTTAGGGTGGGTTACTGGGGTTGAGGCGTGGCCAGAGTCGAGGGCTTACCTGGTGGAACAGGTAAGGCTGTAGCAACGCAGGTTCATAAGTCAGAGCAGGGTGGGGAGGCTGTGGGGGCATTAGCAGATGCTCCAAGAGAGGGGGCAACAGCTCCGCCTGCAGAGAGGACAGTGGGGAGCCCACCCCAGCTCCATTCCCACCCCCTGAAGGCCGAGGGAGCCCCTGGGCAGCAGGAGAGGAGCCTGTAGGATTGCCCTGAGAAAGCAGCTCCCCAGCAGGGCCTGGTCTCCTGGGCACCAAACTGGACCTGGGGAGGTAAGGAGAGAGATAAGGAGTGGGAGAGAATGGGAGAGGGAGAGGGGAAAGAGAGACATTTGAAAGAGAGAGAAAGAAAGAGAGGGTGTGGAGAGTTTACAAGGCTGAGGTTGGACTGAGTCTGCAGTATAGAACAGCCTTGTCCTGAGGCTTTGGAGGCTGTCCTGGAACTAGCTCTTGTAGACCAGGCTGGTCTCGAACTCACAGAGATCCACCTAGCTCTGCCTCCCGAGTGCTGGGATTAAAGGTGTGCGCCACCAACGCCCGGCTAGCCTTGTCCTCTTAAGAAATATAGAGGAGAGATGGGCTAGGGGCCATGGAGGTGATAGTAGACCCTCTGGATTGGTAAACATGCCTCTATCTTTGGGGAAAAAAAAAGATCTACCTCACATGTGAAACAGAGAGGTGGATAAGCTTGTCCAAGACCACACAGTGGTTAAATCAAAGGTTTTCAGACAAGATAAAACCTATTTCTATCTCCTACAGAAGCCTGGTTGGGGTGTGTGTGTGTGTGTGTGTGTGTGTGTGTGTGTGTGTGTGTGTGTGTGTGTGTGGGTGGATGTGTGTGTGTGAGTGTGTGTGTGTGTGTGAGTGTGTGTGTGTGTATGTGAGTGTGTGTGAGTGTATGTGTGTTGTGTGTGTGTGAGAGAGAGAGAGTTTGTGTGTGTGTGTGTGTGCGTGTGTGTGTGTGTGTGTGTGTGTGTGTGTGTGTGTGTGTTTCACTAGGGATCAAACCTAGGACCTTGTGTGTGCAAGACAAGCACTCTAGCACTGAGCTGCATCACCAAAAATGTGTATATCTTTGAAACACAACTGCACAGGCTAAGGAAGCTCAAGGGGATGATGAAAGGGAGATTGGGACCAGGGGGAAGGCATGCATACATACATGGGATGGACTGTGACTGTAGGATGCTTCTGCATGGTTGTCCCTGTGTGCCCGCCTCCCACCCCGGCTCTCTGAGTATATGTTCCAACAACTAAGACTTCCCTGGCCCCACCACTATTGCCTTGCTGGTCCAGGTATCATCATCCAAATTCCACACATTCTTCTTTGGTCTGAGAATTTGCCTTTAGAGCAGAGATTCTCAACCTCTGGGTTGCAACCCCTTGGGGGTCGTCTAAGACCATTGGAAAACACAGATGTTTACATTATGATTCATAAGAGTAACAAGTTACGGTTATGAAGTAACAATGAAAACAATGTCATGGTTGGAGGACTGCAACATGAGGAACTGTATTAAAGGGTCACAGCATTAGGAAGGTTGAGAACCACTGCTTTAGAGGCTCTGACCAGAGAGGGACAGTGCTGCTATACGCAATTCCATACAGTAATGAAACAACTTAGGTCCATGAAAATTCTAGTTTGTCTATTTATTATGTATAGTGTTCTGCCTGCATGTACACCTGCAGACCAGAAGGGGGCACCAGATCTCATTATAGCTGGCCATGAGCCACCATGTGGGAGCTGGGAATTGAACTCAGGACCTCTGGAAGAGCAGTAGTGCTCTTAACCTCTGAGTTTGTCTCTTAACCTCTAGTTTGTCTTTAACAACTACTTTAATCTTCTTTCAAAATGTCAAATATCAACGTTTTTAAAAAGATTTTACTTATTATATATAAAACATTCTGCTTCCATGTATATCTGCCCACCAGAACAGGGCACCAGATCTCATAACAGATGGTTGTGAGCCACCACGTGGTTGCTAGGAATTGAACTCAGGTCCTCTGGAAGAGCAGCCAGTGCTCTTAACCTCTGAGCCATCTCTCCAGCCCATATAAACATTTTTAAAAGTATCTATTTATTGTCCTGTTTTGTTGGGTCTCTAGGATAAACTCAACCCCTACTGAGCCATGTCAACATATCAGAGGGACCATTCTCGATGCTGTTTTACCTGAAACCCCGTCTTCTGACCTTAGCACCTCTGCCCCCTGCCTATAAGGAAGGTTACAGATCACTGGCCCCAACAGTCCAAGGCTGTTGAGAAAGGCTACCTACCTGTCCCTTGGATGGGGCTCTGGGGGACGAAGCCTTGGAATGCGCTCCATCTCCTGGGAGATGACATGCTGGGTGAGGTCATCATGCCAGGACAGTCCTGTCAGGAGAAAGGACAGGGCAAAGGTGGTACAAGACTGGGGGACCCAGTACCAAAGTGGAGGTCAGGAGAATACCCCATTCCCTGCAGTGAGTTGGGTTTGGCAGAGCAGGAGTTGTGCCATTGGAGACATAATGAGTGAGCTGAGCTGCCTCCACATCCCTAACCTCAGGTTCAGCTTTTAGAATCAAACTGCCTGGGCCGGAATCCATCTTTGGTTCCTGAAGAACTGGGGGCCTTGGGCAAGGTGTTAAGCTTCCACTCCCTCATCTCAATTCTCTTTGGCCCTCAATTCTCTCATATGGGGACATGTATCTCCTAAGACTGTTATGATAATTAAAATAACACATCATGGAAAATAGTTCTGTCACATGAAGAACTCTTAACAAATACTATCGACACTGTCATCATTGCACTTCTTCATTGTAAGCCTGAGTCTTTTGTAGAGTGGGAATAACACATTTTTGTGGTCTGCTGTACAAATCAAGTATTGTCAGGAAACTGAAATGCTCTGTATACCTATTTCAAACACTTGTACCATCTCCACTGTGAGTCTCATCATGCCTTCCTGTCAGCATCCTCTTATCCTGAGGCACATGTTCTGACTGACTCTTTACCCATGAAGCTCCTCTCTCAGAAAAGATCTCTCTTTCATTCTAGAGGGATCGAATCTCACTCTCCTCCATTCTTCCTTCTACGGGTTTATTTACTTAGAGTCAGGGTCTTACTATGTAACAGAGGCTGGCCTGGAACTCACGGTGATCCTTCTGTCTCAGCACCCCCACACACCAAGGGCCAGGATCACAGATGTGTACCACCATGCCCAGATCCCGCTCTGGATTTATAATCTGGGTTACTCATGACTCATACCTTGAGACGTGCAAACATCTATTCCATGCATTAGAACAGTCTGTGTTCCTATTACAACCAACTCTTCCAAGAGACCCCTAGATTTCAGCCTCTCTTTATTACTCTAGAACATTCTCCCTGAGTTTCTCTCCCATCTCCATCCTTTTCCTTCCCACTGAATTATTCTTCTTAGCACAAAAAATGTGTTATTTCTTCCATCTTAAAGCCATGCTATTTCACCTGTATCCTATTGCATCGGTCACTGTATTTCATTGCAGTAAACTTCTTTTTTTTTCTCTCTCCCCAAGACAGGGTTTCTCTGTAACTGTCCTGACTATCCTGGAACTCACTTTGTAGACCAGGCTGGCCTCGAACTCAGAGATCTACTTGCCTCTGCCTCCCAAGTGCTGGAGTTAAAGTTATGCACCACCACCGCCCTTGTTGCAGTAAACTGCATAAGACATACTTGTCTTCAGATGGATGCACTGGTGCATGCCTGTAGTCCTGTACTTGTAAAGCTAAGGCAGAAGGATCGCCATGAGTTCCAGGCTAGCCTGGGCTACACAGAAAGAGCTTGCCTCTAAACAAACAAACATACAAACAAACAAAATCCTAACAAAGCTAGAAATAATTTCTAGCAACTTCAGCTGCAGGCCTCCTGTGTCTAACTCTAGATAATTTATATGTGAACAGCTCATCTCTAGAGTCCTATCATTACCCATGTTTTGTCCCCCGATCCAGCAAGATGGAAGAGGGTGGGGCTTCATAAGTGGATATAATTATTAAATTGCATGAAGAGAAATTGTTGGATGAAGTGGCCCCTTACTTCCCCACCAACCAAGTTCCATTCTCTGTGTTCTAGTGTGGTCAGACCTCACCTTGGGACATGAGTTGCCGGAGCACACCTTGTAAGCGCTGGAGAACCGGGGAGGTAACTTGCAAAAGGGGCCGTGCCTGCCCAACTCCTGCCTGGCACTGTCCAAACAAGCCATCTAAAAGCACAAAAGTGCTGTTGTCATGGGTTTTGCAGGAGGCCTTCCAAAGTCTAGGCTGCAGATAAGACAATACTCTCTCCACCTTCTCCGGTGTTAGAGGGCTGCACCTCTACCTTCCTCACATCTGGGCTCCCCCTCCCCATTTTTTCTTTTGAATCCTAAGCTAGGGCCCTACTCACCCTGAATGCAGACTTCCAGGTGTGAGCAGAGCCTGCGGTCAAACAGACAGCCTGTAGAAGAGTGGATAGTTGCTTAGAACACAGAGACAAGGATTAGATGGCTGGGAAACTGGGGAAGCAGATATGGTCCATTATTTCATTCAAAAGGAGGTTTTAAGTTGGGAGGACAGCAGGAAAAAGGCCTAGAATTCTCTCTCTTTCACACACACACACACACACACACACACACACACACACACACACACACACACACACACACACACACATTCATGTATGTGTGCATGTGTATGAAGGCCAGAAGTCAATGTTGGGTATCTTCCACACTTGTTGTCTGTTGTCCACTTTGTGTTTTTCAAACCAGGTCTCTCACTGAACTTAGAGTTCACCCTGAACATCCAGGGATTTGTCTGTCTCCACTTTCCCAGTACTGGGGTTAAACATCAGTCATGTTGCTTGGCTTTTTATACTGGTGCTGAAGATCTGAACGAAGGTCCTCATACTTGACGGCTCATTCTGAGCCATCTCTCCAGCCCCACGACCTAGAACTCATGAGGAGGTGTCCAGTCTAGCTTTGGATTTTAAAGATCTTGGTTTCAGTCTTTAAAAGGCTCAATTTACTTAACTGGGAGTTGGAGCAATGGGAGGAGGGAAGTGTAGATCACGTAGCATTGTGGGAAGATTTGAGGCCAGATTCAAAAGGAAACTGTAGTTTCCCAAACCTTGCAAAGCATCCTAACTCTAGTGGCCTGGAACTCGGAAGAGGCGGAAACTCCAGCACACCCCCCCCCCCCCCCCCCGCGCGTGAAAAGGAAGGGGTTCAGGTATTGGAGTCTGTGGCAGCCTTGAGTCTTTGGTGCTGTCCGTGGTGCTGAAGCCAGGAGCCAAGGGCACGTAGGGAGGGGAGACGTTTGCTGAGGGATGAGTGACAGTACCAGGAGTCGCCACAGGACCTCATCCCTCCCCTCTATCTTGTTAAGTCTCGGCCTCACAGGAAGTACCGTACCCTGGCCTCCAAGCCAGGGTGGAGAAAGAGGGCGCCAGATGGAGAGGCTGCGCCCCTTCCCCCACGCGCCACCTTCCCACCCCCACCACGGGCCCGTGAGTCAGCGCTGACTCTGTCCGCTTAGATGTGAGTCAGCAGCAGGGCTGGCTGTGGGGAGGGGGGCAAGGAGAGGACCCTCCCCTTTTCGTCCTCTTCCGTTCCCTCCCCCATGTGTCCCCTTCTTGCAGCTGACCAACTCGCAGCAAATGGCCTATCTAGACTTGAGAGATAAGCAAGCCCTGCTCTCTGTCTCTAGCCAGTGCCCCAGGGGAGCTGGAGCCGGGTGACTGAGGCCAGGCTCCTGCCGCCGGGTGGTCGCCTCTTCCACCTTCCTTCCTCCTTCCCGGCTTCTGATTCTTCAGTTCGGGTCTCCACCTCGACGTCTCGGGCGTCTCCCACGGTCCTGTAGTCCCTCTCAATCCTTCGACTCGCGCGCACCCCCTTTCCTCCTCCGGAACCTCATCTTCCCTGGAGCCCACTTCTCCCAGGTCCCGCCTGCGTATCCCAGCTCCACCTCCCGGCCTACGCCCCTTTCCTCGCAGCCGCCCTCATCTTCATCTCCCTTCGTCTCCTCTCATCTTCCTCACCCTGCAACTGTCCCCCCCCCTGCCATATTAGTCTACCTGAGCTTCTTGCTTTTGGGACCTC